ATATTTGGTATATCTTAGGATCTTTCCATATGTGTACACACATCTCTCAGCCAAGATGGATCCTACTGAAAAGGGCTATAGGTAGAACATCCCTTGACATGACTCCCCTTTGGCCTCCAAGAAGCCTTTTCTGTGCGTGTATGGTCGGGAAGGTCTCCTGACTTTGGGAATGAGAAATATGCCATCTGTGCAGGGTTCAGCCTCCTTCCTTAATTGCCTGCTATTCTTGTCTTGGAGTTTTGGTCAATAGAGAATGAATCTCCAGTTGTTTTACCCTGGAGGGGGGGTGTCCATCTGCCTTCTTGCCTTAGTATCCCAATTTTGTATATATGTTTTGAAATTGACTGACAGTTCAACATTCTGATTATTTTTTTTCACTTCTTTTTGGTCTTTGTTTTCCAGTATGGGAATCTTCTATTGACTTAATTTCAAACTCAATGATTTTTTCCTTGGCTGAGTCCAATCCACTGATGAGCCCATCAAAAGCAATCTTAACTTCTATCACAATGGTCTTGTTTTCTATCATTTCCTTCTGATTCATTCTCAGATATTTTGTATCTGCTTATATTACCCATCTGTCCTTATATCTTGTCTACTTTCCATGAGAGCTCTTAACAGTAATCACAGTTATTTTGAATTCCCTGTTTGATAATTACAAGATTTTTGTCATATCTGACTCTGGTTCTGATGCCTGCTCTGTCTCTTAAAACTATTTTTCTTCTAATAAAATCGTAATTGTTTTCCTGAAAGTTGAATGTATGTATTAGGTACTAAAAACTCAGGTACTGGGGCTTTTAGCATAACGCTTTATGAGAGTATGCGCTGGAGCTAGGTTGTGTTTAATATTTCCATAACTGTAGGTGCCAGAGACTTCAGTTTCCTCTTTTTCCCTTTTTTCCCCCCTTTCCCGGTTGCCTTTGAACTTCCCTAGAAACTTGTTTTAAAATAGGGTCTCTGTCTTACATCTTTCTCAGCTGTAGTTTACTGTTACTATAGCAAAGCCCTGTTTATATTTTCATAAGGTGGGGGTACTTTTATAAGCTTATGATTAAATCTCTGTGTTTTAGTGAGCTTGAGTCCTTGGACGGTGACTTCCGGAAGCATCTCTTAGCTTCCTCCCTGCCTCCCATTACGTGAGACTAGAAGACAGAGAGGGTGCGGGAGTGGTCTAATCATCCCTTCCCAGGTGCCTGGTGGCTCAGCCAGTAAAGGATCAGCCTGAAATGCAGGAGACCCAGATTTGATCCCTGAAGGAGGGCGTGGCAACCCACTCCAGGACTCCTGCCTGAAGAAACCCATGGACAGAGGAGCCTGGAGGGCCGCAGTCCATGGGGTCGCAAAGAGTCAGACATGACTGAGCACATGCTACTGTGGACTTAAAAAGTTACTGGTTTTCACTTTGTCATCTTTTTTTCCCTTATTTTTCAGTGTGGGAGCTGCAACCACCAAGCTCTTTACACATTGGAACTGAAACCAGAGTTCTCTAAAATCTTTATATGAATGGAATTACACAGCATAGCCTCTTCATTTGGCTTCTGCAGTCAGCATAACTATTTTGAGATTCATCGATGATGCAGCATGAATTCATAGTTCATTTTTATTGCTAAGTAGTAATACCACAACTTGTTCACTAATTCACTTGACAGATATCTGGGTTGTGTTCAGTCTAGGGCTATTGCAAATAAAGCTTGTAGCAATAGTTGTGTACAAAATCTTGTTTGGCTATATGCTCTTTTATCCCTTGGGTAAATATCTCATATGCTGGGTCATATGGTAGGTGTATGTTTAACTTTTTAAGATATTTTCAATCTCTTTTCCAAATTGGTTGTGGCATCACACATTCCCACTAAAATTATTGTTCCATATCCCACCACCTCTTGGTATATTCTTTTCATCTGCAGACATTCAAATGATGAACAGCTGGATCCCAATGCAGCATACTATAAATGAGAATGCTTATCTTAATAATATTCAGTCTTCCAATTCATGATCATGGTATACATCTCTCCATTTAGTTCTGTACTTTTTCATACCTCTCAGCAATGTTTTGTGGTTTCAGTGTACAGGTTTTTGTTAAGTCTTTAATTTAATCCTATCCCATTTAAAAATTAAGTTAGCTTACTACAGTTTCACAGATGCCAGCAGAAGACATGTGACGCCTGTATCAGAAACAAAAGACTTTATTACTCATAATACAATGAGCAGCATAAACATTAGCATGTTTGTATCTGTTTCTCTTGCCTCCACATCCCACAAAAGTGATGTCCATATTGATGCTGCACATCTAGTGGATTTTCATTTCAAATGAGAACACTGGGCTTAGAATATCTATCATTTTTATAATCTGTAGGTAAGCTTTATCTTCAACCAGTGGGGATATGCAACATCTTTCAAAGCTGTGGCATAAATAGGAATAGTTACAGGTTTACCATTTGGCCTACCCCTAAGTAGTACAGGTATCAACAGGTCCAAAGAAAAAGGGATGCCTCTTTGCACATTTGTTGGTCAAATGTATCCCCATTTCACATTTCATGTTTACAAAATGATTTTTAAACTCCAATTTCTAATTGCTTTCTGTAGCATTTGTTGCTGTTGTTTAGTCACTAAGTCATGTCCGACTCTGCACCCACCGGGCACCTCTGTCCCTAGCAATTCCCAGACAAGAACATTAGAGTGGGTTGCCACTGCATTCAGCTTTGTGGCATATGGGAACAAAATTATAATTTGTATATTGATCTTGTATTCTGCAACCTCATTAACCTTACTTTATGAGTTCTAGTAAAATTTTTCTGTAACTTCCTTAATGTTTTCTACATAGATGACCATGTGGTTTATGAATACAGTTTTATATCTTTCTACCAAATACAGAGGTCTTTTATATCTTGTGCTTACCTACTGCATTCAGCTGGGAAACTGATGAAAATCACTGGGAAGCTACCAGAGCAGTGGCTGTGGAAATGGCCAGGAGATTACTTGCTGGGGCACCTGGGAGGTTCTCCTGGAAACCAGCTGGGATGCCCAGGGAATGTGCTGCGTGTCACTGAACCTTGCTAGGGGCTAGGGACCACTAGATGTCTAACAAGTCAGCCACACACCGCAGGAACAAGAAGAGAGAAAAGCACTTTAGTGTGTTAGAGAAGCTCCTTCCCCACGCAGTGTCCCTCAGCATCATCTACAGTTTCACATCGTGCCAGCTAGCAAAGAAGATGTGTCTACAGAGTCCAGCGCCGGGATCACACAACAGAGCAACGATGCATGTATTTGGAGCTGATACCAATAAACTGATCCCCAGTACAGTCCATTCCTGGGCTACTTGGCTTCCAAATGCATCCTTCTGTTCACATTTCAATTTTCATAAAACAACACCACAAAGAGAAAATGTCGCAACATTGTACATTGTACATTGTACCCATTCTGGCTCTATACATTACTCCTCAAATTCAGTCTTACTGAATTTTCTGTTACCTAAAGACTAAATTAAGCTAAACTTACTAAAATTATTAATTAATTTAAAAACTTACTAAAATTAAACTTCAAGGGCCTGTAAAATTATATTTGGAAGAAGAAGACAGAAGAAAATAGTGAACATGTGCCAACACCCACATGCATAACAGAAAATACGCAAAACTTCAACAGTCCTTACCCTGGAAGTGGCCCCAAAATCAGAGCTTTCCGTCTTTATTTTACGACCTATTTCTTCCTTCTCTTGTTTTTTTTTTTTTTTAAGGCTAAGGTTCTTTATCTAAAAAAGGAAACTTTTCTAGAGATTTATTTCAGAAATAGTAGTAACGTTAATGACTTAATTCAAACTGAGGACAGCAAGAAAATTAACATATAAACTCTTCATGTCTTTAAAAAGAAGTCTGCAACTAAGTGTCCTTTAATCACCTTATTGCTGAAAACACCTATTACGGGAATAACAAGAGACACTGATTTCTTAAATGAGATTTTTTTGTTTGGGGGTTTTTGTTTTTGTGTGTGTGCTTTTTGTTGTTGTTGTTGTTTGTTTTATTGCTTTTTCCGGCCTATTTCTTCTTTCCCTTGCCCTCAGCCTAAACATCAGCTGATCAGGGGTCTTTACCTCACGCAAGGATGAACGTCTTTCTTCAGGAGTACAGGAATTGATTCTTCCACAGTTCTACATTCTTTTGTTTCCTTGTTTTTGGAACGTTCCACGCAGAGTCCTTCCTCACTCCACTGGAAACGATCACCCAACCTGCCCTCGGTACTCCGGCTCCATCACTTCAGCCGGGAGAAGGTCCCCTTGGGTTTCCTGACGGTTTGGTGGCTTCGGGAGGCCCAACTATCCAGCTGATGGTCTCACTGCCGAACACAGCGGAACTTCTGCCCCACCCCTCTTGGAAGGTCAGCCCTCCTGGGATAAAAAACCTCCAAACCAGGAGGCTCCAAGTTGCCAAGACAGACGGCAGCGAATGTTCTACAAGTGAGCCGCTCTCGCAGGTCACAGAAAAAGCGCTGGGGCCACGTTTGTATTAATATATAGACTCCTCACCCCTCCAGGAGGCTGGTCCACACTGGGTCCTCCTGTGTTTCAAGTGGGAAAAACGAAGCTGGGAGGGGCCGAAGGTTCTTTCTCCAGGTCAGTCATCGACAACAAGGCACGCCCACTCAGAGTCTCTTCCCGCCAAAGCCGGCGATCCCCGAGGACACCCCGTCACTTCTGAGCTAAAAGCTCATCATCGCAATTCCCTCCAGCCAGGCAATGGCTCTTTATCCCCAGGGTGCGCAGAGCGTCATCACCACCATCACAAAGCTGGCGCATCCCGCACGGACGCCCGTTCTCTGGGCGGAGCGCGAACCCGCCGGGCCGTGCGGAGCCCGCCTCGCTGCGCCTGCGTCGGAAGCTCCGCCCCTGAAAGAAGGTGAGAGGCGCGCGGCTCTGCGCTGGCGCAGCCGCTGGCTTCCGCCGGGGGCGGGGCCGGCGCGCCGAGGGCGGGCCCGCCCGCTAGCCCCCCGCGCGCATGCGCATGGAGCCGGGGAAACAGTCCAGCGGCATGGCCCCGGACCGGGGTTTGATATCAGCAACCCCGAGATCGCGGCAGGAACCTGGGACGGGGACCCAGGAGGGGGCTCCCGGCCCCGGAGCCGTTCGAGCCCGCCGCTTCCTGCTCTGCCTCTACCTCGTAGGCTTCCTGGTGAGTAACTGCGGGGCCAGCGGGCTGTGTCCGCGACCTGGATCCCGACCAAGGTGCTTTTCCTTGTACATCCTGAGTGGTCGCCAGGCTCTTCGAGGGCTGGAAACCTGCGACCCGCCTGGTGATGCCTCCCTACCTCTCAGGTCCCTTCTTGCCCCACACCCCCTCCTTCACACTGCACCTGGCCACAGATGAGGCTTGCCCCTCTCGCCCACGCCGAGGCCAGTTCGCCCCCACCCTCACCCCAGCCCCGCGATTTAAGACTCTTCGGCACCAGGCTCAGGAGTGACTCGGTGATCGAGCCACGCACAAGGGTGACCCCGGGTGGTAGATGCTGCGACCGGTGCGTCGCCCAGCAGGGCGGTGGCTTCAGGTGTGGTAGGAGCAAACAGGCCCTTTTTACTAGGCCTTGTAGGAAAGTCGCTGTTGATAACCCTTCTTGGGCAGAATTAGGTACATTTTCAGAGCTCCCAGGTGGCGCTAGTGGTAAACAATCCGCCTGCCTATGCAGGAGACAGACACCATTGGATTCCTGGGTGGGGAGTGAGTTTGATCCCTGGGTGGGGAAGGATCCCTTGGAGAAGGAAATGGCAGCCCATTCCAGTGTTTTTGCCTGAAAAATTCCATGGACAAAGGACCTTGTCGGGTTATGCTCCATGGGGTCTCAAAGAGGCAGATACAACTGTGCTAGGAAGCATGCATTAAACTTGACAGACTGTTGAACACCTTGCACTGAGGTTGGGGGAGTAGAATGTCTTCTTGCTTCTCTCCTGGCTCAGTAGAGCTCAGCACCCTAACCTTAGTCAGGCACTAGACTGGAGAGTCATGGCTGTGGTTGTAACACACTGTATATGGATTTCTCCATACCTTTAACCAGATGAGTGTATCTTACTGTAGAATGCAATTATGAGTTCTTGTTTGCTCAAAAATTTAGATATTGTCCTTAAAAAATCAGCTTATAATCAGGATCCCACTTTAAAAATACTGAGGCCCCTGTTTCTAATTTGCATTAACCAGCAATTTGTTGTTTAGGATTTGTTTGGTGTGAGCATGGTTGTGCCTTTACTGAGCGTTCATGTCAAGTCTCTTGGAGCAAGTCCAACAGTTGCTGGGATAGTAGGTGAGTAGGTTAATCCTGCACTTTTTCAGAGCACGGAATTTTAAGCCCCCTGGACTGAGTACCTGGAAACAAATCAGTCTTTTAGCTAAGGTAACTTACTGAGTCTCTCCAGGGGTTCTGGTCATGCATGTTAATAAGGGTCAGGTATCGACGCCTGCCTGCAGGGACCTGTAACCTAATGGGAGAGCAGAGAGACATGATCTACAGAAATCACACCACGAGGAACAGAGTGCTTACAGGCTTCCTTCACCACCACTAGAAGCACAGAGGGCTTCTCTCTCTGTGCAGCATAGAATCTCCATCCAGAAGTTGTCGATTTACCCAGGGAATAGTGGGGGTAGGATTCTGATAATTAATGAGAAATTGATAAAAACTCACAGCCTTTGATCATTCAAAAACGAGAAGAGCAGATGAGTTGCAGGGGGGTGGGGTGGATTGTACATAATATTTGGAAACTCCTGAGCCACACTATGGCTTGAATTTCCCTGGAAAAGTGTATGTTGAGTTATATTGGCCCACCCAGCAGAGGGAAGGGGTCTTTGAAGAGCAGAAAGAATGTATTCAATAATAGGATGGAGCTGAAAGCACTCCATAAAACTTTGTAAGTTCTTTACAAAGCAAGCATTTTATAAAACTGAAATGTTAGGGACATAGGAGGTAATATTAACATTTCAAGACTTAATCGAGACTTTGTGGGATTCAGATTTATGGTCCTGCATGCATGCCTCACACAGGGTAAGAAGCACTCTCTCAGGGTCCCTATGGGAGACCTCGGCCTTCAGTCTCTTCTTCTTTCCCTCAATTTTACTCTGAAGACCCGTACTAAATCTTGTATGACCTGACTCTCCCATCTGAAAAAAGTATGCTCATTTCCTTTTTAAAACAGTCTTTTTCTCCTAATGTTTTCTGTTAATTTTACCCATCTTCTTGATGAATCTAGCTTATTTTACAGATGTCACTTGTTTTTTGCAGGCTCCTCCTATGGCATTTTGCAGCTCTTTTCCAGCACGCTAGTGGTAAGTTCTCTTCCGTCTGGCAGCACATCTCAAAAGCCCCCATGCCCAAAAGACCGCATGCCTCTAAGGGCCATCCATCACGGCTGTAGAAAAATCAGGGCTTGAGGTTTACCCAAAAGGAAGTTTGTGGATGGCGAGGACCTAAGTGTCCTTAGACCACAAAAGATGCGTTGGTCATCTCTCCCTTAGTCAACCTCTGAGAAGACATAGGCCTGAAGGGGTTGGATGGCTAGATCTAAAAGGACCTGGTTGAGTCATAGTGAGCGCCTGCTATTTAAATCATAGCGTGTTCTTCCCAGGATTACTTTCTACTAGAAGAAGAGGATGCAAACAGCCATTATGACCAGTTTTGTTTGTTTCAAGTAATTGACAGTCATCAAACCCATTCAGATCCTTGGATTCTATGTGAAGTTGTGCCTTTTGAATGACATGGCTTATCAGTTATAAAACTTAAGTGTATAGACAGAGGAGCCACTGGCAGTAATGGGTTGGACATTGACCATAGAAAGTAGAAACACCCAGAGCTGATCTTGCCAACCCCACCCACTTCTTCTTTTATTATTGGCCATGCTCTTTGGGCATGTGGGATCCTAGTTTCCCGATCAGAGATCAAACTGGTGCCCCCTGTGTTGGAAGCTCGGAGTCTTAACCACTGGGCCTCCAAGGCAGTTCCCCACCACTCCCACTTCTGACCATGCAGTGGTTTGAAATTCAGAATCCTTCACTGATTCTGTGTGCCCTCTATGTAATACTGGTCCTGGGGCCTCAGCCTCCAGAGGTTCATGCAGTTCAAACAGAAAAGTCAGTTTGGTTCCAGGGACTGATCAGCTGTGACCTTGGTCTAAATAACTGGTGTCACCTCGAGTGAGCACCAGGTACGTACAGTGCTGTGCTTCCCAAGAGTGGCTCATGTGTGAAATATATTTTAATATCAGGGAGCAATCTGGTGAGATTCCATTACAAATTCTCAGATAACTAAACAGCTACTCCCTAATTTATCTTTGTTACAGTGTTTCATGCTTTAAATTGGTATAGCAGCAATAGTCATACTCTTATATAATCATTAAAATGACCCAGGAAAATAGTAGTCTGCCTTTTATTAGGAGGAGATTAAAACTTAAACAGTTTAAGTAATTTGACAAGGTCACCTAATCCCAGTATCTAAACTCTAAGTGCTTTTTCTCTCCATGCCATCTGCCTCTGCCTTAATCTAAAAAAGTAAATAGATAACAAGTATCAAACTGTATAGGAAACTAATGCATTTACTTGTAGGGCAGCACATCATATTTCATATTCTTTCTCATGAGAGAACAGTCTGGGATACATCTTAGTAAATATCTTTTCTGTTGTCTTTGGGAACTCCATACCAAAATACTTTAGATGTGTGTGTATAGTGGCTTCCCAGGTGGTTCAGTGGTAAAGAATCCGCCTGCCAATGCAGCAGATGCAGTTTTGATCCCTGGGTAGGGAAGATCTTTTGGAGGAGGACATGGCAACCCACTCCAGTGTTCTTGCCTGGAGAATCCCATGGACAGAGGAGCCTGGCAGGCTACAGTCCATGGGGTCACAAAGAATCATACACAACTGAGCATTCACACACATGTATATATTAGACCAGTTAAATTGCAGTGTATTTTAAATACTCAAGTGCCTTTCTCCTACTGGACTCTGACCTCCCTGAGAATACAGACCAGGCTTGATTTGTTTATCAGCAGCCTTGATCAGAGAACCTGGAACGCAGCAGCGCTTTATGAGTTTTTATTGCCAGCCATGGCCCAACCCTGTTTTTCAAATTGATCCTTTGCTTTATGACAGTAGTGCTTGCAAAGCACATATCATAGATCTCAGCTATAATTTAATGAGACCCTTCCTTAGACATCCTTCCGTTAAAGGAATACCTACTTAAAGTGTCTTCTTTAACCACTACTTTTGTAAGTACATATTTTAATTAAAAGTTTTATGAAAGCATTTTAATTTTAAAAATAAATATTTTCGAAGAAAAGGTTTGCTCAATCACGTGAGGTTAATATTTTTTTCATATGTGTATTTTAATAAAAATGACCAGCGTTTATTACCTGTGATACGTCAGGATCTGCTCTTGGCACATTATTACATTTAATCTTCATAATAACCAGTCTCAACCACCAGTCTGGGAGTTGTGGATTTCTAATGATTCATTTTAACTCAAAGCATGTAGCAAGTGTTGATGGGGATGGGGAATGGCTGAGGCAGATATGATTACTCCGACTTTATGGTAGAGAAACCGACCTCAGATACACCTGTGTGTGTAATTATCTTGACTGATGCCCGGGTCGTATGTGGAATGATGAGAGTTCGGAGCTGAACCCGGACAGCCTGGCCCAGGGCCCAGGGCATTAACTGCCAGATTACATCATGCCCTATGAACACGGGAGGCCAGTGACCTCTCCCACGTTGAAAGAGGGGAGAATTTCTAAACTGTTGAAAAGTGAGGAAAGATAAAAGCGACTTTTTCACAACATGAAATGATGTTCAAGATATACTGTTAAGTGGAAAAGCATGTTCCAAAATGGAATGTATAGTATGGTCATTTTGTTAAAAACATAGGGGGCTTCCGTGGTGGCTCAATGGTGAAGAATCCACCAGCCACTGCAGGAGACACAGATTCGATCCCCGGTCTGGGAACATCCCACATGTCACAGAGCAACTAAGCCCGTGCACCGCAGCTGTTGAGCCTGTGCTCTGGAACCTGTGAGCCACAGATCGTGAGCCTTGTCCTGCAGCTACTGAAGCCCATACACTTGAGCCCGTGCTCCTCCGCAAGAGATGATACCACAGTATGAAACCCCTACACCACAACTGGAGAGTAGCCCCCACTCTCTACACCGAGAGAAAAGCCCATGCAGCAACGAAGACCCAGCACAGCCAAAAATATATGTATACATGTTTTCTAAAAAGTATAAAGGGAGGAAATGATCAGGTCTCAAGGGACCATTAAAAAAAAAAAACATGTAGATTCAGGATTACGAGGTTTTATATTCATTTTGTTTTTCAGTGTTTTCTAAATTTCTAAACCGTGAATATAGTTGCTAAGAAGTTAAGTTGCATGAAGTATTGAGAATAAGACAAAATGAGGCTTTAGAAATTATCCTTCACTATCTTTACAGCCTTTCTTTGCTACCAGGTCATCATAGATGCATCATCTGGTAACTTAGGCTGTTGAAAAACTCTGTTGTATTTTCCCACTTCACATGGGAAAGGCCAGAGAACCTAATTTATGTGGCAAGGGGCATAACAGAATTGATCTGTGGATCTTAAACCCGGTTCCCCCGTGATTTCCATGGGGTCACATGTTGGGGGGTTTCCAGGGTCGCCAGGTTGTTTTAACGGGAGTCAGAGGCTTTCTGCTGCCCCCTGCTTCCTCAGGGCTGCTGGAGTGACGTCGTCGGAAGACGGTCTTCCTTACTGGTGTGCATCCTGTGCAGTGCCCTGGGTTACCTTATGCTCGGAGCATCTACCAACGTGTTCCTGTTCACCCTGGCTAGAGTCCCTGCAGGTGAGTTCTCGCCCCGTGGCTGGGTGTCCATCCAGAAACAATCAGTTTATGCGTCTGCATCCAGAGAGCCTGTCCCTGCCTAGCAGCGCCTCTTGGAGCAGACTTTACTTTTTAATATTTATTTATTTTTAGCTGCACGGTGTCTTTTTCTCTCTGCATGGGCTCTCTCTAGTCGCAGAGAGTGGGGGCTCTTCTCTGGCTGTGGTGTGCAGGTTTCTGATCGCCGTGGCTTCTCCTGTGGCCAAGCATGGACTCTAGAGTGCGTGGGCTTCAGTAGTTGTGGCTCTAGGGCTTAATTGCCCTGCAGCATGTGGGGTCTTCCCAGACCAGTGATGGCACCCATCTCTCTTGCACTGCAAAAGCAGATTCTTAACCACTGGACCATCAGGGGAGTCCCTGGTTAGACTTTATGTGCAGAGCCTATCATGATGATAACAGTTACAACTGTAACACCGGCCGCTGCTGTCGACCAAGCATTCGCCACCACCAGGCTCTTCTGACAGCTCCAGGATTACAGACCTTGCACTCACAGAGCCTGAGCCCTCCTCGCCCCTCAGCATGAACACCCATGCCTCAGTCATAGGACCTGAGTGCTGCCAGTCCACCTCTCTGCATCCTAGGAATTCCTTAGATGTCTTCGGCCAACACCACAGTTGCTGTTCTCTCCCTCGGTGAGCTTGTAGTTTTGAAATTGGGCTTCCTGACCTCAAATTGAGACAAGAGCAGCAGCAGTCAGGCCCACTATATGTTGGTCAGGACGGTGGACGGCCTGTGGCTTTAGCATCCGTCCACGTGTGAGTGTGTGTGGGTGTTCAGCAGACGGTGACACACGCATCCGTTATATCAGCACGAGGTTGAGGAATGTAGAGGTGTTACATACATTGTCATCTCTCATTAAGGCAGGTCACAGCTTTCAGCTTGTCAACAAACTCCCAAGCTGCTTGTGGTAGGAAGTCGGCATTGGTTAGATGATCATGTCATAGTGTTGTTTTTTTTTTTTTTTTCATAGTGAAAACATAGTGTTTTTATACTTTCAGTTGCCCTCTGTCTTTCATACCCTGCTCTGTTTCTCTTTATAGCACTTATCACCCTCCTGTGTCTGTGTGTGTGTAAAATGATATGTAGGCTCTGTGAGAACAGGGATGAGTGTCTGTTTTATTTTGGTTTTTTTCCCTTTGTTCCTTCCGTTATCCTCAGGGTCACGGTGAGTGCTGGGCTTGCAGAAGGCACATGGGAATTGTTTATTTACTGAGCAAATAAAGCATGGTCAGTCTTTGCATAGAAACCACCATAAACTGCCCTTGGACCACAGACATGACTGGAGACCCTGGAATGTCCTGGTGGAAGGTGGACAAGCTGAGGGCTCGGGGAGCTTGGTTCAGATGAAGGTGACCCACTCAGGTCTGGGGCTGGGCCAGGAGTCCAGCCACAGTGGGGTGGGACCTGTAAGCCTTACAACAGAGGTTCCCAACCTTTCTGACATCAGGGACAGGTTTCATGGAAGATAGTTTTTCCATTAAGGGAACAAGATGATTTTGGGGTGATTTAAACACACCACATTTCTAATGCACTTTATTTCTATTGTTTTTACATCAGCTCCACCTCAGACCATTAGGCATTAGATCCAGGAGGGTGGAGACCGCTGCCTTAGAGGCTCACGGAAAACTGAGATCAGAACTCCATCACGGATGAAGATGAAGCTCAGGATCCCAAGTGAGATACTTTGGGTTGGAAAATGCACAGACGCGTTTCTTGTTGCCTCGCAGGTATCTTTAAGCACACACTCTCCATCTCAAGGGCCCTGCTCGCTGATCTGGTCACAGAGGAGGAACGGCCAGTGGTGCTGGGACAGTTCAACACGGCATCCAGCATGGGCTTCATCTTGGGCCCAGTGGTCGGCGGGTATCTGGCTGAGCTGGATGGTGGGTTTTATCTCACGGCCTTCGTCTGCTCTTCTGTCTTCGTTCTCAACGCTGGTAAGTTGACATGAATCATGAGGAGGTGGTTTGGTTGATGTGTTTATCCCAACCAGTCTTGCCCACTTTCTCTCATTACAGTGTTTTCCTTAGAATGTATTCTGTTCGTGCTCAGTCGTATCCAACCCTTTGCAACTCCATGGACCGGGTTCCTCTGTCCATGGGATTTCCCAGGCAAGAATATTGAGTGGGTTGCCATTTCCTTCTCCAGGGGATCTTCCTGACCCAGGAATCAGACCCGCATCTCCTGTGTCTCCTGCATTGCAGGTGGATTCTTTACCTAGTAAGCCATCAGGGAAGCCGTTTCTTAGGACAGGCAGACTCATTACTCACAGAGGACAGTCCGGTCACGTCGGCCCTGCTGGGACCGCTGTGCCCCTGGGTCTGTGTGTCTCTCTCAGGCCCACTTGGTGTGGGCCGGCCACCCTCTGCCTCCCCGACAAATGTTGGCTTCTTGCAGGAGGACTCAAATCCAGTCTTTCCTCCACCTACAGTGTTCTTTTCACGTACCTATACTGACTGTTTCTTGGCTGATTATTCAATTTTCAGATGTTTGCTTCCTTAGACTGACTGTCCCTGATCCTTGTCTAAAATAACTCAATTTTTTGGTAGCACTTCTGAAATCAGAAGTTTATTTTCTTATGTTCTGTTCCCCCACCACGTACACAGTTAGAAAATAAAGTCCACAAGGATAGGAGCATTCAGTCAACATTAGTCGCTATGATCATTTAAAGTATACTCTTCCTCTTGGTTCATCAGCAACAGTCCTTTTGCACTTATATCAAGGTTCTGTGAAACATCAAAGGCCCGTGGTCCAGGATGAGTACAGATGAAAAGCCCTCACAGGCCCACATTCTCTGTGACTGGTTTCCTGCATGAATGAGTTCTCCCTAGCTCCTGGTCCACTTACACTGTGTTTCGAGGAACCACAGGCTTGTTGGTGAGAAAGCCCCAGGCAGGTCTGAGCAGCATTGGCCCACATGGTGCTGCAGTGATGAAGGGCTGAAAACCACGGGGATGAGTTCAGAAAGATTTCCAAGAAGGGCAGGTTTGAGTGTGAAAGAAAGGGTCATTCGCTCAGTCGTGTCCAACTCTTTGCGACCCCATGGGCTGCAGCACTCCAGGCCTCCCTGTCCATCACCAACTCCCGGACCTTGCTCAAACTCATGTCTGTCAAGTCGGTGATGCTGTCCAACCATCTCATCCTGTGTCCCCTTCTCCTCCTGCCTTCTATCTTTCCCAGCATCAGGGTCTTTTCCAGTGAGTCGGTTCTTTGCATCAGGTGGCCAAAGTATTGGAACTTCAGCTTTAGCATCAGTCCTTCCAGTGAATATTCAGAATTGGTTTCCTTTCTTAAGGTGAATAGCAGAATTCTGATATCAAAATGGAGTCTAAGTAGCTGTGGGAATGGTTAAAAACAGGTTTCAAAAATCCACCTAGTAAGTGGACTAATACAGGAAAAAGAGTAGTGGCTCCCCCCGAGAAGGCCCTGCCGGATTCTCTGCCAGATTCTCTGCGGCTCTAACAGGTCTTATCCCATGTTGACAGGTCTCGTTTGGCTGTTTCCATGGAGTGAAGTAAAACTCAGTAGTCCAGAGGATGACTCGCCACGGGGTAGGAACCAGGCGCTTTGGGGAAAGACAGACTCTGCCATGCAGAGGGCAGCCAGCCCCCAGGGGACCCCAGTGAGCAAGGGGCCGGCCAGCCTGCCCTGGGCGGAGGTGCTGGCCACCCTGCGGGGCCTGAGGAGCCTGGTGCTTTCCGCCCTGTGGGTCGTGTTCGTGGTGCGCCTGCTGATGGCCGTGGCCGTCATGCTCTACTACAGTAACTTCGTCCTGGCCCTGGAGGAGCGCTTCGGCATGGGGCCCCGGGCGGCCGGCTACCTCACCAGCTGCAGCAGCGCCCTGGGGGTCCTGGCTGGCTTCGCCCTGGGACCCCTCCTGCGGCTGTACGGGCACCAGTCGTACCGGCTCCTGCTGCACTCCACTGTGCTCACGTCTGCGCTGCTGCTGCTCTTCGCCTCGGCACGCAGCCTGGACGTCGCGATCGCCTGTTCCGTGCTCCTGTCCTTCTCCACCGCCATCGGCAGGACCTGCATCACCGACCTCCAGCTGACCGTCGGCGGGGTGCGGGCCGGCGGCAGCCTCCTGGGCATGGGGCAGTCGGTGACAGCTGTGGGCCGGGTCCTCGCCCCCATCCTCTCGGGGGTGGCCCAGGAGGTGAGCCCCTGCGGCCCTCCCGGCCTGGGGGCGGCCTTAGGCTTCGTGGCGGTTGTCATCATGTCACAAAACAGACCTCAGTCCAGCGGCCAAGGGGATGATGAATTAAAAAGCAAGTAGGTGGATTTAGACAGCGGGAAGAGACAAAGCCAGAGCTGCATGGATGTGGGCAGAGGCCCCGAGATGGGTGCTATGGAAAGGATCAGTGGTGATGAGAAATGACTTCTCTCCAAAAAGAAGCTCTGGTGGCGGGTGTCCCATCAGGCCTGCGGGACACTCAGAATCAAGATGGCACACACACATGAAGACGGGAGTCGAGCTTGGCCGGAGGGGAAGGTAGTCAGCGTTTCCCCAAGAGTCTGCTGTTCATCTGGACAGTGAGCCTGGGGCTTTCAAGGGGAAATGGTGGTGGGCTCACAGGAGGGGAGAGACTGCAGGGATGTCCCTGCTGAGCAAAAGTAAGGAAACGTGAATGAAATTTTGGTTAGCTGGATGCAGGTGTCAGGTGAAGTTCCATAAGCTCCAAGGAGGCTTTTCTGCCACCAAAATGCCGGAGATCAAAGAAGCTGCTATACTAAAACCAGCTTGTCCCTTCTTCAGGGCCTCACGGTGTTCCACCCGGGATGCTGGCTCAAAACCAGAGATGCCCATCTGAGCCCGTGGGCCCACGCGAGGCCCTGGAACCTGTGTGTTTAGTGAGTCCGGCTTCCAGCTTCTCCTGGAGGTAGGGAAAGGGTCATTCCGAGACCTGCTGGTTTGGGTTCAAGTAAAAGTCAGAGACTGGGTTGTTACTAGTAGCTAACGTGTTTGCACTGTCTGTTAAAATCATGTGAGCACACGCAGGGGCGGCTCCCGGCAGTCACACTTAAACCAGGGGAACCCGGTCCCCTGTGCTCCATGTCCCCGATGCCCCGCCCTGCACAGGCCCGAGCCTGCCTGCAGCCACATCTCCCGGAGCCCAGGCGTGATGATCTGTCTGCTCCTGGAAGAGGGGAAAGAACCTGGTGGAGAAACCAAACCCCTTAAATGCTTCTCAGATGAACGTCTTCTTCAGGATAAGAGAGAAGCTGGCCTCAGGCCCTGTCACAGGTGCTATAGTGTCTTTGTTGAAAATCAATTCCTCTCTTTCATGTTGACATCACACCTGGGAACAGAAGTGCCGTGTTGACCTACAGGGAAACATTCTGGGTGCCTCCAGGGGCCCTGAGTAGGGTGAGCACAGATGCCCGGGAGGCTTTGCAAGCACTCGCTGACCCTCCAAGGTGACGTCAGTTACTGGTACTGGTAGTTAGGGGCCCCCTCTCTCCACACAGACCCCCAGAGCTCACGCTCCTTTCGGTCCTTTTAATCAGTCTGCTAGGGTTGTATTCCAGTCTTCCACCTGATGTGTGTAATTATAAATGATGCTTTAATACACTAATTTGTTATAACTTTAATACTTGCTACTTGCAGAGCAGAAAAAGATGTTCTGCAGCTATAGACATTGTGTGTTGGGTAAACTCAAATATTTATGATGAAGAATTAACTGCAAGTTTGAAGTTTGTCCCCGTTCCTGTTTAGCTACAAGAAAAATGTTAGCTTCTTATAAGTATGAACTTTTGTACAAGTGCTTTTGAGGAAACCAAAATATATAAAATGGCCTCACTCTGGGTGAGTGTACCAAGTTGTCACAGAGATTAGACTCAGAGGAACAATATATTATCAAGGGTTTATGCAATGAAGGACAATTTCAAAAGAATTTCTCTAAAGATTATCTTTTCTTCACTCTCAGAAATAGGTTTCTGAAAAGCTCTTAAATCTAGCCATGTGTTTATTTTTGTAAACTATAGCACTTTATTTTTGAAGTTATAAAAGCGTGTACACTCAATGAGGTTTTATAACGAACTAGAGACATAGAAATACTGAGAACCCTAAAAACATCTCAGTGTGGAAAGCAGAGACACAATTTTGTTATTCTCTACTATTACAAATTTTAGTGTTTTGTTCGCGTGGTTTTTTCAGATATTTATATTAGATAGTCTAACATGTTGCTACTCGAAGTGTGGGCCGGGGACCAGCCACGTCCCGTCCCTGGAGCTCCTCGGACATGCAGACACTGGCCCACCTCATGCCTGCGGGAGTCATTTGCACAAGACACCCAGCTGCTTTTTTGCACAGTTAAGTTTGAAAACCACCACCAGTCTGATGGACACTGTTTGTTTATAGTATGACCTCAGGGAAATTAAATCTGCTCAAAGTTTGGGTTGTTTGTTTGTTTTTTAATTTTCTTGAGTATCTTCTGTCATCTTTTACAATGTGTTAGGTCAAGCCACATGAAACTGCAGTTTTTACTGAAGTTTACATCTGGTTCAACTTAAATGAACTGTTATAATGAAATCTCACTTCAGAGGCATTGAATGTGCCCGAGAAGATTGTGAAGGAAATGGCCCCCTGTCCAGCACTGCGTTAGCACCGCCGGTACATTCTGTGAAACAGCCTGGGGCTTGGGCATCTGAAAGACCTGGCCTTTTCCAAAGAGGAAGGCGCGCCTGTGCGCATGTCCACCTGTTCACGTGTTCGGAGGGATGAACAGGGAGGGAGCGGAGTGTGCCTGGCTAGCAGAGACATGTACCCGGCTCCACACCCAGGGACCTGTGCCCTCCTGGATCCTGAGGTCTGGAGGGTTATACCTGCAGCATGGAAGCAGGGGGCTGGAGTGGGGCTCCTCTGCCCTGGCTCCCTGTTAAGAGTCGCCTGATGCCCAGAGCTTGCCCTGCACCTCAGGGCAGCCCCAGGTGCTCAGCGCACACCCAGAGCTGAGCATTGCGGGGCTAGATGCTTACCCACCAGGCTCCGGGTAACCTTGTGTGCTATCACGACGGGGAGCCCTAAGCATTCATGCTGGATGGTCTTCCAGGGGCCTTCTCCTTCCAGGAAGCCCCCTCTGGCAGCAGGGAGGGGGACCAGCTGGAGGCAGGGGAAGTAGTCTGGGCTGAGCAGCAGGGGGCAAGGGGGGCGTGAGGCTGGAGGGAGACGGAAGGAGGGAGAGTCCCGGAGACTGGGAGGGGCTGCGGTGCCGCCCAGGTGTCTGGTCTGGCGGAGCTCTGCCAGCCTTGAGAGCCTCCGCCCACGTGTCCAGTACACTGTGCCCTTCCTGTGTTACCTGACAGGGAACATTTATGGAACATTCAGAACACAGCAGGCGTCTTTCTGAGGACACGTGTAAGACATGGAGCAATCTGTCGGGGTGAGAGGCAACCCACCTGGGGAAATTTTAGGCATGTGGGAACTGCTGGAAGGGAAGAGCTTTTCGTTTGGAATCCACAGTAGAAGCCAGCCTGGGCTTCCCAGGTGGTGCAGTGGCAAAGAATCTGCCGGCAGTGCAGGAGCTGAGGGAGACACAGGTTCAATCCCTGGGTCAGGAAGATCCCCTGGAGCAGGAAATGGCAACCCGCTCCAGTATGCTTGCCTGGAAAATCCTATGGACAGAGGAGCCTGGTAGGCTACAGCCCATGGGGCCGCAAAACAGTCAGACACAACTTAATGACTAAACAACAACATTCTAAAATACATCTTGATAGTAAAAATAAGCCCTTGGCTTGTAAACCATATCATATCCAGTACATACATAATCTGAAATTTATTCTATACTGATGGTGAGCTGATTGTTTTCAGATAACAGGTCATCATGGTAGAATTTATTTCTAATCTAATATAAAAATACTTACTTAAAAGTGAAAGTCGTTCAGTCATGTCCAACTCTTTGCAACCCCATGGACTACACAGTCCATAGATTTCTTCAGGCCACAATACTGGAGTGGGTAGCTGTTCCCTTCTCCATGGGATTTTCCCAACCCAGGGATCAAACCTAGGTCTTTCACATTGCAGGCGGATTCTTTACCAGTTGAGCTATCAGGGAAGCCCAACTTACTTAAAAAACATTATTTTTACTTTATATCTGTTTTTCTCAAGTATCTAAACTCACCATTTTACAGATAACTGTGAAAACAAAGCTAACAAAATTTCTACTGTGTTCTTGATTCAATACATTTTAAGTGTGCCGATTCTTATTTTGAATACAGATCCTCTCAAATAGTTTTGTGTTGTTCCTCAAGGGGAAAAGATAATTACAAACATTAAAGATTGTTAATTATTGCTAATGAACAATATAAAAATGGACTGTAAAGATCTTGTTGGAAAAAAGATTTGTATTTTGATTGTTGTTCAGTCGCTTAGTTGTGTCCAACTATGTGTGACCCTATGGACTGTAGCCTACCAGACTTCTCTGTCCATGGCATTCTCCAGGCAAGAATACTGAAGTGGGTTGTCATTTCCTCCTCCAGGAGATCTTCCCAACCCAAGGATATTTTTAAGAAGTGTCAGACTTTGGGACTCACTTCTAACTGTCTGCTAACTGACATAACTGCTCCCAGCTCCCAACAGCCAGCCTTAGCATCATATATAAAGAAATAAGCTGGGTGCTCCTGTGGTTAAGACTCGGAGCCTCCAATGCAGGGGGCATGGGTTCCATCCCTGATCAGGGAACTAAGATCTCACATGCTGTGTGGTGCAGTCAAAATATAAATTACAATAGTTAAAAATTAAAATAATATATAAATAATATTTATAATAATAAAAACAAGTTAAAAATGTTCCCAAACCTAAAAAAAAAAATGAAAAGAAAAAAGGAAATAAGCCCTGACTTTGCATTCATAAATAGTTCAAATTTGTTAGCACAAACACCAAAGACACAGCAAAATTCCATGGTCACATTGGAACTTGATTGTATCAAGTACTATTTGAAACAGGGGAATTATTTATAAGGGTAGGGATGTTTCTGTACCACAGAAATTTAGATTGTTATGATATTTAAAGGGTTTCAACTCCATAGACTCTCCCATAATGTCTAGAATTTAATTACATAAAAAGAAGTATAAAGTTAAATAAAGTCACATTTATTTTTCATTAATTTTACCATTCCACAATTAAGGAAAAATGATATTAATTATAGATAAAATGACGTGTTCATTTTTTAGAAATTGACACAATACCCAAGTTTTTTTTAATCTGACTTTTAATTAGTGAAAGCTGAATTTCGTCTATGTGCTTAACAAGAAGTATCTAATAAACATTTTTACGTTTTCTCCTTCAGTTCCAGAATATTAGATTCCTTGTGATATTTATTAATCTAGGACACCAGGAAAAATCAGGACATCTATTTTAAGGTTATTATTTTACATTTCAACTTTCCATTTCAGATTTCCTAAACTGTAACTTACTCTTCAAAATCTCAAAAATATACATCACATCTCTTGATGAATCACAGTCCTATAATAAAGATTCTACATTAAAATTCAGCTTTAACTTACTTCCAGCAGATGAAATATATACTTTTTATATAAATATTTCCATTTAAAATTAAGAATTTTGGCACAGAGTCCTAAGCTTGTAGTCTTCAAATTGTGTGTACATTGCTTTCCACCAATCAACCTGGGGGAGTCTGGGAAAGAAATGGTACTCTTTTTACACTTGTACCTGGTGTATTTACCCTTCCCTCTGTCTCATGCTTGATAATCCAGCGGTATTCAAGATTTTAGAACATGAGAAAAAAGGGTAGGAGATTTACTTCTCCACATCAGTGAGGGTAGAAGAAAGGGACAAGATCTAAGCCTGAGAATTTCTAAGTACCGGATCTTTTGGTTTAATTTATTCTTGTTTTTCCAGCAATTACATGCGGTCACTTGTATCCTTTGCTATGTCTCCAAGAGAGAGACACAGCAAATGTCTCTCCAATGTGAATCCATTGAGAGTGGCTTCATGTCATATCTAAATCCCCAGAAATTTCAAGTTTTGTTCAAGTCAAAATTTTATAGAAAGGTTTTTCAGGGGAAAATGACAGGCCAAGAAAATCAACAGTCTGAGCGATTCCAGTATTAATCTTTAATGGTTATGTTCCATCTCTGGTCTTTCTGCTGTACTTTTAAAAAGTAGATGAGTAGAATTCATTTTTATATGAAGAATTTGAGCTACTTACTTTCTTGACGGGGGAGAGGTAACAAATTAGACTAGTGCAAAAAAAAAAAAAAAAAGAACTCCCACATTCTCCAAAGTGCTTCCTGTATGAAATTCAAAACCTGAATCCCCACCAGTTTGTTAAAGGTCGGAATATCATTTATCTCAACCTTTATCCTTGTCTGCTTGGAGCCTCTGTCCTGGATTAAAAGTTCTAGAATGTTCTACAGAAAAGTCCTAAAGCAGGTGGTCGTGGATGGGCTAACAGGGGATCTCCTGCACCGTCCCCCCAGTATTGCACAAAACCCGCCAGCCGGCTACAAGCGGGCACTGTCCTGTCACCCCTCACCCAGCACATGAGGCCAAGCTTCATCCCACACTGGCCCTGAGTCTGTCACACAGCATAAGCTGGTTTCACCCACACCCTTCACCTTTCTCTTGGTACCATTTAAACACGACGGGGAGATGGAATCTGTACATCACCCACAGACACAGTAGAAAGAGGAACACATTAAAAACCAGCCGACTCTCACAACTTCAGAGGCCCTACAGTCTGGCAGCCAGGCCTCACCCGCCCAGATGTTCTGGCTGTTGGCGTCCTCAGGAATCTCTGCTCCATGCTGTGATCTTTCTTAACCAACAGCCATCAGCTCAGAATCATCAGGAAACACCCCCCCATCTGGAGCTGATGACCTGCCCCCCATCCTGTGGAAGCTGCCCTGGATGCCGTGGAAAGGTGTTCTGAGTATTTTTAGTGCCATTCACTGAAAAACTAATTACAGATATACATATTTTTTCATAAATAAAATCTGAGGCATATATGTATATATTAAAACTTTCACCAACAAGGGTGTGTTAAAAATTTCAAGTTCTGTCCTTCAAGTTCAATAAAGGCACAAGTGTTTTGGTTTGTTTTTCTCTCTTTCTTTAGGCTGGCAAAGAACACAACTGCTAGCAACAAGTCATCAAAGACACTGTAGGGGACTTTTTTCTTTGATTTTCTTCTTCCTGGGATGACCATTTGCCCCATGGATCACTGGCCACTGGCGTGATTTCTACCCAAGGACAGTATTTAGATGCATAGAGGGTTTAAGTGGATTCGTTGCTGTGTCAGGTTGCTAGGTAACAAGCCACAGCTGGGCGGGGCCAGTCCCCCCAGGTCTGCTTTGGCCATTTCCATTAAGGCTTCTCGCTCCCAAATCGACCCTTCTGGTTTCCAGGTTCCGAGGCCCTTCGGACCAGCCTGGGGG